GGGGAGGGGAGGGGAGGGGAGGGGAGAGATCCGCCCCGTGTGGACTTACTCAAAGCTCTTTCAATAACCCTACCAGGATAGCTCTTGGCAAGGCAGCAACCCAGTCTCTGGCAGGCTGCAGGGAATCTGAGTGTGAGAAAGTCAGTCATGCGAAGGAAAAGGGAGAGAGAAAAAAAAAGCTTTGAGTCCTCAGGCAAAATTACACCCCCCTTTCCCTAGCTCTAAAACAAACCCACAAAACATTCCCAAAAACCTAGGGGGAAGGGGGAGTCTCTCCTAGGCTGCAGACATTTGTTTTAGGTTTTAAAAGCAAAAAGGTGAGAGAAGTCACCCCTCGTGGGTAACAGGCTGACAACGGAGCAGTCCCTGGTTGTGATTATTGGATATGACACCACACTGGGGACAAAAAGGCCTCCACTCAAAACACCCCATTCCCTGTGCCCCCCCTCCCTACACACACTTTGGGAATAAAGAAGAATATGACTAAAAAGTGTTTCTAGGAACCTTTCAAGTTCAACAATTCTTTCTGGATTTTGAGTTCACTGCCCCCATGGGAGGGTGGACAGCACCAATGTGACATACCTTCACTGACCAGGAGACTAAAACCTCATCTATGGGTGCGTTTGCAAAGCAACCTCGCTCTTGATGAGTGGCCGAGTCAAGAGTCAGGGCCTTCATGGCTTTTCTATCTTACTGGGAGGGAACAGTGCTCAGGCACAAACGTATGCATAATTTTTGGTCACATGGGCCTTCTGTCCCTCTACCTAAAAGTGTCAACGTGAAGTCACTTGCTTATGCCACCACAGCAAATACTCCTAAAGTGACAATAAATGAACTGCGATTAACTCTTTGACCCATGGGGCTGCTGGAAGACCCTGACTGACTTGTTCATCCTCCATGCCCCTGCCAGGAACTTTAGCCCTAGAAAGAAAGGGCAATGGCATGCCAGGTTAGTGCATTAGGGCTTCAGAGCAGACAGCAGCCAATCATGACAGATGGTGGGAACCTGGGTAGGGTGAAAACGCTCCCTGGAAAGCTTTGATTCCCGGGAGATTCTGGGGCAATGTAGTCTTGGTTTTATTGCTGAAGTTTTGTTTTTTTGTTTTTGTTGTTTTGTTTTGTTTTTTTAAATCAGAGACTTAGTAGGAGCTTTTTAAAGAAGCTTAAGAAGTTTGTGGGGGGGGGCACAGCAGAAAGGGGGATGGCACACGTTCATCACCTTTCACCAAGAGGGTTTCAAAAACCCAGGAAAACCCCACTGTTGAAAAGGCACCCGGGAATTCTCTGTCATCACCACCTTCCCATCTGTTTAGAATATGAAAAGAGAGTCCTACCCCATTGGTCCAGGTAGCAGAGCAACCAAAAAAAAAAAAAAGGCATTGTTTATCATTTCTTCAGAACAAGATAGGGCACAGCCCACTCTCCAGCATGTCTGCATGTACACACACACACACACACACACACACACACACACACACACGGTGCATCCCCCCCACTCCCCACCCCACAGGGTCAAGAGAAAAAGTGTGAGCAAAGCCAGGCTGCCCTGAGGTAAAGGTTTGTCTGCACACTGGTGAGGAGGGCTGTCCTGGGAGGCAGGAAAGAGACTTAGAAAGTAAAATAGAACCCTACACCCAGGGCAAACACGTTTAACTCAGGTCAGGGGGGTGTGCGGTTGGCGGCCAGGTGACCCGGCCAAAGCAGGTAGCTCATCAGTCAGCCTGCATGTGTCACTTGGGAGCATCTCTACCGGTCTGATCCCCTTAAGTGGTCTGTCTCCAAGTCCACGCTTGACACCCGTCAGGGATTTCTATGGATCCCTGATGTCTTTTCTCCACTGTGACCTATTATGGCAATCGGAGTCCTTTATAAAGCAGGATGTCTAAGGGTCTTGTGTGGCGGTCTCAAATTTCTTCCTTGCCCCTTCACACACCCTGAATGCACTCAGCACAAAGACCTCAGGTTCCCCGGGATCTGTGCCTTAAATGCCATGGGTCCTCCCTTCCTCCCCAGCCCCATGACTCAGCATATTCCCAACGCCTCAGCCATATTTTTCGGAGGTATAAAGCACAGAATCCTCTCCACCAGGAACTCTACCATAACATCTTCACATATGACTAATTCTCCTGAATTCTCTACCTCCTTTTACTTCTGTCTACTGCCTCTCTTAAAGGCTCTCCCAGGGGAATCTTCTGGGAAATCTGCAGATGGCAGCCATGCTCACACAGGTATCTGGCAGCGGTCTTTCTAAGGACACTCTGTCTGGTTCCACACCTGATGCAGGTGTGGCTTCGTACCATGAAGGCACTCCTCCGGGTGCCCCCCCCCCAAAAAAAACACCATCTAAGCCCCAAGAGAAAGGGAGAAAGCAGAATCCCCAGGCATTGGTCAGAAAGTCGAGTTCTGCGCGGCTCCGCAGTCGGTTGTAGATTACTCCAAGGGAGCGGCCACTGTATCTCTCTCATCGTGGTAATCCCCGGGTTTAACAGTGTCTGGCTTTCCATCATAAAAGAGGTGGGGGGGCTGCCCAAGGTCATGCAGTCAACGAACCACTTCATCTCATCCGGGACCAGATCTGGAGAAATCATTCACATTATCTCAGTGGGGGTTCGGGGTGGGGGGTGGGGGTGGGGGAAGGGAGGAACCAGAGTGTGCGCCTTGTGTGTGCCAGGCCTCCCGGACGCGGGAAAAGCTGGGGGCGGGGATCAAAAGAACGCGCGCGAGGGGATCGCGAGCTGCCCCGAGTTCAGGGCGGCGGGAAATCCGAAGGGGTTG